TGAAGTCGATTCCTAAATTAGTAAACGGGTAAACTATTAGATGAGTTTAAAATCAAATACGCCTGTCAGGTACTAAAAGAGTTAAATAATGTATGCAGTGCAGCCATCACGTTCTCCCAGCGAATCATGCAACAGGGCTACCAATACTGGGGTTTCTCTCAAGATCTTGGGTTTTTTATGATACCTTGGGTTCAGATTTTGGTTTTTTTTTTATATCCTTATATAAAGTGGGTAAATGTTCCGTTTCGTAACTATAAAATGTGCTCTTTTTTTATCATTCCTGGGTTTTTGCTTTGGTTTTTGTTCTTTGCTGGTTTTTTGGTCAGCTAAGCTTGGGATTTGATATAACTCCCATTGGCAGCCCTGCATTGCAAAATGAAACCAAATACACACGTTTTGATGACGTCAGGGAACAGCCGACCTGTTAATTTATCGTCTGTTCGGAGCAGACGTGTGTCAGGAGACTTATCATATTGTCGGGAAATCCATTAAATTTATAAACTCAGCTAAATATCTTATAGTTCGCTATCAGTAGCTTCTATACAGAGTGGTGAGTGACACATATTCCTTTAGATGTATGTAATTTTTACTTCATAGTTTATGTGAAGCTAGACTAGACGTGAATTTCTTCTTCTGTCATGTTCATTTGTTTTGTCCAGTAAGTCAGTGCAGAAAGGTCATCTTTTAACGGTTAGTGGGTCTAGTCGGTCAGCGGTTCAATTTAAAGCCTTTACGTTAGCTGGTTGCACTTGAACTGTTGTTCTCCATATGTTATATAATACAGAACTGAACTGTGTGTTTGCCTGATTCATCATTATTGCCAGTTCCTTGAGAATTGGTTGAAATTAAAGATTAAAACAGGGAAAGCATTGTTTCATCAGCGTATGGCGAGCTAGCTAAGTTTTTTAGACCAGCTGCTCAGCGACCAGGAGACATACTCCTTGTGGTCCGTTTACGCTTGGGGGTTAGGCTTAGGCAGGCAGTAAAGCCATATATTTCCCTTATTTATGGTATCTATCATGGAATCAAGACCGAAGGGATTGTGCTATATCCATATTACTGAGCCAAAAGGTTTACAACTCATAGTTTCATACTTCAGTTAATTACAGCACCACCCAGCCCATTATTCATTATATTTCATGTTTACAATTTAAAGAAAAGTTTTGTCAAAGCACTTGATAAAATAGGGTGAATTCAAGAGGAGTGAAAAAATGAGATAAATGTATTGACAGGCAGAAGTGTCAAAAGTTATAAAACAGATTATGCTGCTATATAGGACAACAGATTTGACTAGAGACAGAGAATCTCCCAGCAGGCGCTGATACTGTAAAACGAGGGACTGATTGAACTAGGACATCCATGAGAAAGACAAATGTGAAAGCTGATGAGAGAAGCCAAAGGTGCTGGATTAGATCCCATCCATTATTTCAAAGCGATTTGATTGCACTCTATAGAGCAGAGTGGAGAAATACACCCTGAATCTTTTGGATATATATAATGACACTAAAGGAAAATTAAATAGGGGGGAGAAGGTGCTTAACTGAGTCCCAGGGGGTTTAGCATCAGAGGCTCAAGGGGTAGTCAAGAGAGATGCAAAAATTGACGCATCTTGCGTTCATTGGGCCTCTAGGTGGGAACATATGAACGTATGATGCAATTCTTGGGACTCAATGAGTTAAAGGACTTTTTCCATGTTTCAGAGCATGTTATTGAGAGTATGATGCTAGTCCTTTATTTAAATAGGTCAGCGGTGTTAGAAACATATTAGTGTTAGGCTGCAAACTTCAACTGCTCCAACATGCTGAGAGAAGAAATACAATCTGGAAAAAAGTATACTATGCCCTTTAACATACGCTATACTCAAAATCTCTAGATCGCAACACCAAGATAAAGAAATATGAAACGTTAAGACCAATGGTTTTATATGGCACAGAAACTTGGAGCACAACTAAAATAGATGAAGCCTCATAAAAAACTTTCTAAAACAGAGTATTACGACAAATCTTTTGACCTATTAAAGATGCAAACAGTGGGGAATGGAGAGTGAGAAGCAACAGCAAAATTCATAATCTGTTTAAATCACCATTGATCACTGTCATCATGAGATGTAATAGACTGAAATGGCTTGGGCATGTTGAGAAAATGTCAAATGACAGAGAGGTAAAACTGTATACACAAGGGAGCTGAATGTTTGTAGACCATGAGGCAGACCAAGAAGACGATGGGGAGATAACGTTCAGACAGACCTGCAAACATTTGGTGTCACCAACTGGAAAGAGAAGGCCAACAAGAGAGATAAATTGAGGTAGGTGATATCTGCAGCAACAAACCTCACGGACTCAGAACGCTGATGAAGAAGAAGTTCTGTTGTACATAATGTGATCATTAAAAAATCTGAACATCAAGGAAGATTGGCTAATAAACAGCATCTTCTTTTGAAAACTAAAAATATTGGTCATATCAAGCGCCATGGCTGATTGAAAAAATAATAGCAGAAGGGACAGTACCAGGAAGGAGGGTGAGGGGCCGGCCAACACGAAGATGGGAGAAGGATATAAGTGACTCCTTGAACATGAAAGTACACAAGGCAGGAGAGCTGGCGAGAGACCACATTTCTTTCAGCAGGCTGTGAGGCAAAGGAGCTGCTACATGAGGATGATGATCATTACCGGCCCACCTCCTTTTACTTCCCAAAACATATCCTGCTATCCATTTTCAACTGTGGGCTGCTCAGTGTAAAATTAAACATGAAGCCAGTGGCCACTTTCACAGGGTTTTCAACACAGGACCACCAGACTGGCAGGTAAGGATGATAGCCACTGAGATGCCACAGCTGCCACGTGTATTTCTGTCTTATAGATTACTTCATGACTTGTGAGGTCACTAATCATGTTTGTCGACAGTCTGTTCTCTCTCATGTTCTCTCTTTTTAAGTCCTAAGGTCCCGTTTGGAGGAGGTAGGGGGATTTGAAGAGATTAATGGACTCCTGCCCCCCCCCTCCCCCACCCCCACCAACAAGCATGTCAAAAAGGTGACTAGTGGGTTTTTTTTAAAGTCAGACTGCATCTGCCTGAGAGGTAAGGAACCCACAGTCTGCATACAAATAAGCCAGATCTGTAAAATAGATGTGCACACAAAACTCAAGTTCTGAGATAAGACCAAAGTCCAGAAGTGTTTGAATAACAAGAACTTTCTGCATGAGCTTACAGCCAGTGAATGCTAAGAAGAAGTTGTATTGTCAGCCAGTTTCCCTCTGCCCCTCTTACCTTCCCGCTTTCATTTTAATCATGATGAACATCATTTTTTTGTTTGAGATGGCACAGGATCTCCTTCTGACATGTCTGTGGAACAGTTAACAAGATTTTTTTATACAGTACCTGATTGATTGCACAATTACAAAAACAGTTTTTACCAGTGTTATGTGTATCTAAAATATAGATGTTGCGTATGTAAGCTGGCAACAAATTTATTATATGGTAGTGTATTTTAAGCCAAAGACACTTAGTGTATAATTATTATTTTTTTTACACCTGTTTGAATTTGTGTGTGTGTGTATTCCTAGCTCACTTATTTAGCACATTTTATGTAATTATTTTGATAAGTTTAATAAATTTTCTTTCACTGAGTAATTGCACCTAGCAACGGTGGCAGAAAGTGGGTATGTAGGCCAATATTACGTTTGCCTAATGTTTCTACCTCCAAGAAAATGTATCATATTTCAAGTAAAATGAATAGTGTAGCAATTTTTAAAAAAAAAGATAACATGTCTTGCTATCAGTAGTGGCATCCAAGGGACTTTACTAATATGTAGATTTATTACATTCATGTTTGAGGTCCAGAGTTCATAGTAACCTGATCGTACCACTGATTGTGACAACCTTTGTACCAAGTATGAAAATACATTTGGGGTTTCCGCTCTCTGTATTTGCTTACATGTGACCTTGTGCTGGTTACTGCATGTTTAAGACTTGAACACTGGGTGATATTTATCTTTTGTTATAGTGAGAAGTGCTGTGCTGTTATTTTTAGCACATTATCACCCTATGGGAGTTCACAATAAAAGGAAAGAGTTTGTTCTGCTGTAATACAGTAGTTAGTTTGGTACATGTGTCAAAAGTTACGTTGAAGCTGTTGACAACATTTCATCTTGTGAAACTGCTGCTTATAGACAACCTTTTGGAAAAAGATCTTTATATGGTATTCATATATTGTTTTGTCATATTCAAAGTAATGCTTATTGTGTGTGTGTGTGTAGGTTTTTCTGTGTGGGGGGGGGGGGGGGGGGCAGAAACAAGTCATAAAAGACTAATAATTAAAGATTTGCGATAACACATGAGTTAGGCCAAAAAGTGCAGATATGCAGCCTAGCTGTAAATCACAACACAGCGCACCAATCAAGTTACAAAGGCAAACACAGAAGAACAAATTAAGAAGCTTTAAGATTTTAAAGTAACTTTATTAACGGTAAATAAAGTAAAAAGAATAAGTTAAGGACCCTGTTTCCACACCTTCACGTGTACTGGGCAGATAGGGCTAGACCTATATTTTATAGACCAGTCAACACTCTGTGGGAAATGTTGTCAGCATCACGGCGCCCACCTTTGCTTCCCGTGATTTTACTCAATACCCATTTAAAGCAGGGTTGTCCTGAGAGCCAATGTCATTTTTTGACAAATGTCACCACATGAACTCAAAACTTTCACATCTGCAGGCGAGTATCCAGCTCCTACGCCCAGGCTGTGAAAAAGGGTACATTATTTTGTTTACCTCATTCTCAGCTTGTTGTGTAACTTTTGCTTCATCTTTATTATCAACTTCTTATTCTTCTTCTTGTTCAGCTCTGTTTCCTGAGTAGTCATTGTTTAAAATAATCTGCATGAAGAGAAATCCAATTTTTTTTTAGTGCCTTCAGCACAGTTAAATTTATTATGCCTATATTGATTTTACATTTTTCTGACTTTTCCCGCCTCTTCCCTCCCCATAGTTGTGTTTCCTGACCATGTCATCAGCTTTGAACTCAGACCAAGCCACAGCCTGTGTGGACCCACACACTGGCAATGAAAAGATATCATCAGCTGAAACAGAACAATGTACTCCTGAAACATCCGAGCAACATGTTGATGATGATTCATGCTGTACAACCACGTCTGATAGCTCCAACCACTTGAAGGAGGAACCTTCCTTGAGGAAGCGATTGCTAGTGAAGTCTGAGGCATCAAGCAAGCCCGAAGATGACATGCTTGCAAGTGTAGCTGAGGTGGGCACATCTTTGACATTTGAAACTTATTACCATCTTATTCACTGTCAACATTTTTACCACATTCATCAGCATTATCCTGTGGTGCCTTTACATGTCTATCCATCCATTCTATTCTATTATTGCAGTCTCTTCAATATCATGGATGGAATCCAGAATAGCACCTTTGACCTGTATTCTTAATATTTGTTTTATTTTTTACACATTCAAAGTCCATTTCTATTTAGCAGCCTTTGCTGAAAACTTTAATTGTTTACAAATCGAGCACTACCAACTGTATGCTACTAATAATAGAGAAGCAGTGTGGCCTGTTCTAACCACAATCAAGAGAAAGCTGTGTGGTACGCAGGAAGACTTTCTGCATAACAGCCTTCATGAAGGTAAGCACCCTAGCTGTAAACCACAACACAGTGTGCCAACCTTCCTTTTTAATGGTGAAGGAAGAAAAAGAATGGCTCTGTTTTGCAGTTGCTAGTGTCAGGTATTAAAGAGATTCCTAGAAATTATCTTGGGAGCTTTGTGCAGGTTAGTGGTCACTCATCAGGGATAGACTGAGCTGTATGAGATCAAACCCAGTGCACGGAAGTTCTTCTTTGCATTCATCAGATGTAACCTCTGGCGGAGAGTTCAGGATGTTCATCCACTTCTGCACTTTATTCTTGTTCAAAAAATTTCGTTTTGCTTGCACACTCATTTTTTGGATCTGGCTTACATGTATGTTGGCTCCTTGTATCTCAGGCAGACGCACTCCAGCCTCGAAAACACCCCTAATTAGTTTACTTTCACATCATGGGGGGGGGGGGGGGGGGGGTTATTCTACTTCCTAGGACATTGCCTTCCTGTGTTAGGCCTGGGAGCCAAGGTCAATTTTTTTTTATAATAAAAATATCTCGGTGCGGATTCAAACCCAAAACATTCTGTCCAGCAAGCAGGCATCTAGGCACTACCACGCTTTGATTTAATGTTATAGTAAATAAATATTAAAACATTTGTCATGGTTTCAGGATAGCTTGCTAAATGAGAACCTGGAAAATACAGAAGGATCTTTTTTGAATGTCCCATCTAAGTGTGCAGAACAGGCAGAAGAATTTGTTAAAAAGGTATTTAAAAGCTTTTTTTTTTTTTTTAGTTTTGTTTGACATGTCAAAATAATCATTTGACTAAAATTGTGAATGAATGTAACATAAAATTTTCAAGGTAACTTTAATTGCACAGAAGATACTGTTGTTGGGGCATGAAGTTAGATTCCCACATTAACTAGGTCGAGAAAATATAGGATTCAAGGTTTTAAATTGAAATTTGAAAATCTTCACCTCAATGGGGATTCCTTAATGGGACATTCTTTTTCTTCTGTGTTCAGTGTTAAAAGGGCAGTTGACATATTGTGTTGTGGTTTGCAGCTAGGCTGCAGTATTTACCCCATCATGTCTGTTTTAAGCAAATCCTAAATTTATTTAGTCACCTTTTACAACTTGCTTGGTCTGGCAGTAGATCTATCCCCTCCCCTCTGTTTTCCCCCAGAACCCACATGTAAAGTGTGGAACATTAAAGGGGATGATTTCTTATTTTCAGAACTTACTTCACTATATACTTAGTAAACTTATAGGTGTTCATAATGCCTTGGCAGATGTCAGACAGTATTTATTGCCACTTTATTGACAAATTATTTATCTGTTTATTTATCCACTTTAACATGTTGTTATAGGTGACTTAAGGGTTTGCCGAAATTAGAGTTGGTGGGCTGAAAGCCAAAGAAATGACAGCCCGGCTGTAAAACAATTGCCAGTTACCCTTTTGAGGGTAAACACAGAAGAAGAAGCTGTGTTCATTGCTGATTTGTTAGGGGTTCTGGTACTGTATCATAGTCACCACTGTGGTACATAGTGTTATCATCTTCTTTGTTTGTCTCTCAGGTCTGGGCGGCTGGCTGGAATGTTGTCCACTTCCACTCATTGCCAGAGTGGCTAAAAGATAATGAATTCTTGTTAAGAGGTCATCGTGAACCAACTAACTCCTTCAAGGCCTGTTTCAAGTCTATTTTCAGAATACACACAGAGACAGGAAACATCTGGACACATTTATTGGGTAAATAGAACTAAATACAGTTTTGAAATATGTTTAGAGTTCAAAGGATTAAATTCAGTCTTTGAATTTTATCCTTCTGGTTGCCCATAATAGCAGTGCACAAAACATTAACTCTATAGCTCTAGCAACATCCCCAGAGATCTCCAAACACCTGCACCTGTGAATAAGAGGATTGAATCTAACATTGAAACCATTTAGAACATGAGATAAATGTGTTTGCCACACATGGAAACCTGACTTCACTGAATAACAAAAAATATTATTACAGCCCTGTGAACCATTGTGCATGATGTGCTATTGTCCAAATGAACTATGCAGTTTGTGATCTGATATGACATATACCACCAAAATCTTGTTAGTTATTTGTATATACAACATGGTCTTTGTGTCAAACGGAGTGTAAAGGTGCTGCCTTTATAACAGTTTTGCACTGATGGTTCTATTCATTGTGGCTATCATTTCCATTGGGTAGCTTTTGAGAAACTTTGTGGGAATGAAAGAGTTTTTATCAGCACTGAAAATCAGTGCATGTTTTTGTTTTTCTGCCTTGCCTCTCCTGCTGGAGCATAGGCCCATGTCCAGCTTATCAGCTGTTTGTATACTTATTCATGGCTTGTTGTTTTCTGCAAGCTGAGCTAGTCGGTTTCAGTTCTGCTCCTTCTCTAGCCTTGTTCTGTCTTCCAGCTTCAGATTTTTGGAGAGGCCTCGGGTGTGAGCCTTGGTACATGCTGCGTAGAGGCTGGTTTTTACAGCCTTGGATATTCCATCTATCCATTACCTGTGCAGTCAACTTCTAGCTCTGCTTCAATTTCAGTTCCATGTCGATCCTTTTTTCTTAGTAGTTTCCACACCCCCGCTGGGAGAGGGGAATAGACCCAGTGCTCCTTAACAAGCTTACCACAAAGGCTGACTAATAAAGAATTTGCTGAAATTTTATGTGTTTAGCCAGAAGGTACAGATATCACAGTCTAGCTGTAAACCACACTGCAACATGATAATCTCCCTATTGAGGGCGGATACAAAAGAAGATGTCCATCCTTCTTGGTCTCCTCTAAAAAATGCATCCTAGCTTTCAGTGCTTCTGTTCATTGCTTTCCTTGTGGGCAAAAATTTATTGTTCCTCTTTTTTTTTTATAAATCACTTTAAAAATATCATTATCCATTCACTTAACCAAAGATTATAAATAACTCATAAATCCTGGGAAATACCACTATAGCATAGAGCAAGGCTATTCAGCTAAGTTTACTCAGGGGCCAAAGTTTTGAAAATGGGCATCGTCGAGGGCCAGAAGCCCGAGCGCCAGCATAGAAAGATAATTAATTCAATACAACTGGTAGTAATTCGCGGGCCACCTGCCAGGCCTCGGCGGGCCAGATTTGGCCGGCGGACCGCCAGTTGAATAGCCCTGGCATAGAGGTTCACACAGAGGTCTGAGTTTAATGTCAGCTTTGGCTTTTTCAATGTGTGTCTCATAACAATGGTTATTCTGTTAAACTTTGAGCACTATTCATGCTCATATTTTGGGCAGTCCAAAACATTGTTATTTTCTGCATCTTATGGTACAAACATGAATTATACTTGATATATTTTAATTATTACAGCAATTGTATTTTTTATTTCTGGATTTTTTTGCTCACCCTTTTGCCCCAGGAACACCTAAAAAAAAAAATGTGTTGCAAGTTGAAATCCAGAAAAGAAAACCGTTTTTAGATGGAAAACACATCATTAGAAATCCTGAAAAGAAATCAGTTTAACAAGAACAATTTTTTACACAGGTCGCAAATAAATATTTTAATGGTTTTGCCTACATTTTAGCAAATTTTTGGAAAGGGTGGAAGGGATATTTAAAGGCAAAGTTGGGGGATGTGAACCAGTGTCATTGCGCACAGTTATAAACCAAAAGTGCTCTACCACCGGTACGGACAGCTGATAAGAAACTGTCCACCTGTGTCACCATCCGCACGCATCTCTGTAGCTACAGCGACGTTCCTCCATTTACCCCAGAGTGTTAATTCTGGTACCGATTACCTAGAAGCTGGGTTAACCCACGTCTCTTAAACAGGTCACTGTAGACAAGTCGGAAGGTGAAATATACAGGAGATTGGACCCAGCCGAAAGTGTTGGGTTTTCGGCTTCTGGGCACCAAAGGGTTAAGCTTTATTGTATTCAACATCTGAGGCTTAAAAGTTATGAATATAGTTTCAAAACTCTTGAGTTACTGGCAGATCACTCTGGATAATTAAATAATACAAAGGTATGAATGTCAGATTGCTCAGGAAAGCAATGCCAAACCACCAAATATAACACTGCTTGGTAAAATCACAAACAACCAAGTCATTTCATAATGGGGTTTGTCTAAGACATCACACACCCAAACACACACATACAGGATTGTAATTATTTGTATTCTATTTCAGGCATGATTGCATTCCTTGTCATAGCTGCATACTTCCTAACCCGACCCTCCTTTGAGATCCGCTGGGAGGATAAGGTTGTGTTTTCTGCATTTTTCCTTGGAGCTATTTTGTGTTTAGGCTTTTCTTGGGTTTTCCACACAGTTTATTGTCACAGTGAAAGAGTGGGGAGATTCTTCCACAAGTAAGCATCATTTTATGTTGACTTCAGTACATAGAAAATGTCACTATATGAATACTGTTGTTTAGGCATAATTCTTTTGTATTTGCTGCTAATAATTAAACTAAAACAGTTAACATATATTTGTGGGATTTTGATATATTTATTAAATTAAAAACGCAAGGAGCACTGTTTGTCATTATTGAGCACAGTCGTTTTTTTTTTTTTTTTTTAAACATTTTTAAGTATTTATTTTTTTAATTTGTGATGATGTTAGCATGTTGTGGGAAGAAACAAGTGCTGTGATGATTGTGAAATTGATTATTAGTCACCCGATGTGTTCAAAAGCTAGCACTTTACATTATATCTGCTGTGGAGCTACAATGTTAGTTAGTTAGTTGAGTATCCTTTACAGGACGTTGCAGAACCAACCCCAGAATTTTTCTTGGCAGATTTACGTCCAAAAGTTTGCTGTTGCTTTCTGGATGGTCAGCTTCTCGATGCCACTGTCGAAACCAATGCAAGACGCAGCGCCCACAGCTGGGATCGAACCTGGCACCCCAACATAACAAAGCGCGTTTGAAACTCCTAAGCCACAGATGCGGATGGAGCTACATTACGTACATTAAAATTTTCTTGGGGGGGGTGGGGGGTGCCTTCAAATGAAAGCCTTAAAACTGTTAACGGCTAGGTCAAAGTCGGGCACACCAAGTCACAAAAGTCACACCATTTTGAAACAGGCATGCATCGCCATACTGGAACTTCATTCGCTGATGAATTTCTAAAGGTTTTACCCCTTCACTGATTTCAAAAAAGAAAAACAGATGGCAGAACTCTGCTCCTCTTTAAAGCATGTCAAATGTGTCTTTAAACTGTGATTTTGATGTCACTAAGTTCATCTGCACTGTGATGTCATGTGTTTAACAATCAAACTTGGCATCCTTAACAACAGTATTGTTATGGTACAAGACAGTGGCACAGTTATTGTAATTCCTGTCACACTTTTATAAGTTTTTAATTCTTTAATTCGAACCCCCCCCCCCCCCCCCCCCCCCCCCCCCCCCCCCCCCCCCCCCCCCCCCCCCCCTCCTCCAGTCCCAACCCTCGTAATTTTGTTATGTATGCATTTTATTGTCAGTTTTAGACACAATGCTAACAATGTCTGATTATAAATATTTACATTTCCAGGCTAGATTACTGTGGCATTGCATTGCTGACAATTGGATCCTTTGTTCCGTGGCTGTATTATAGCTTCTACTGCCGCTTGGAACCTAAAATCACATACTTGTCCCTGATTTTGTTCCTGGGCACTCTGTGCATTGGTGTATCAATGTGGGACAAGTTTGCTCAACCCCACTTCAGACCTTTCAGAGCCGGTGAGATAGTTGTTTTATTATCCTCATTTTCTGAGATCCCAATGTGGGTTCCAGGGCCTCACAAATAAATCAGCACGGTCTGGGGAGAATGTCACTGTGGGGAGTTACCAGGGGATTGGGCTGACACTCGGGGGAAAGGCCGGATGGATGTACAATCAGACAGTTACTGCTACCATCGGAATTGGAACTCTTTACTTGCTGCTGAAGATGGGGACAGAGCACTTATGGGAGTGTCCTATGTCTGGGTGCTGTGATGTTGATTCTTTATTTAATGTTCAGCAGCATTCAACTTAAGGTGGGGGGGGGGGGGGGGGGGGGCCACTTGCCCCTAACAATCATGTAGTAAAAAGGCGATTAATGATGGATTTGCTAAAATCGGATTTGTTGGGCCAAAAGGCACAAATCTTGCAGCCTATCTGAATACCATAGAACAATATGCCACATGCCTTTTTCAAGATGGTCACAAAATAAGAAAAGAAATATATGAGAATAATTCATGATGTAGCCGTTTGTCCCTCTTGTGGTGTTAGTGACTTTGCAAAATCTAAGTTAATTTCTCAGAAGTCATAAGATTTTGCTGACCAGTACGTCTAGAAGTCGACCCAGCCCTTAAATTGAGTGCCTGGATTTTGTCTGGGAAGGACAAAGACAGTGTTCTTCAACCGACAGGCCACGAAAAAGTCTAGGCAGGCTGCATAAATTTGTCCTTAATCGTGTAACAGGCTCTAGTAGGTAGTTCTTCTCTGTAGGATTAACACCTCTGTTGTGAGAATCAGAAGATGTTGCAACAGCTAAAAATTGTAATTTTCTGACTGCTGTCTACGTTTGATTTTGTTTCTGTGTTTAGTTAGGGGTCAAGTAGGCCATGAAATAAATTTGTCATTGATTCGATAAGCCTCTGGTGGGAACAGTTTGAGGAGCACTGGCCTTGAATATATCCAGGAGGCCTGACAGTTCACCTTTTAGTGGCAGTTATCTGCTATGAGACTGCCTTTAGACATAATAGCAGTGTATCCAATCTTAGTGGGATAGACTTAGTTAACATAGTACACTGCAGTATCTGCTGAGGTAGGTAGGTAGGTAGTTGTACCCCACCAGGACATCACACAAGCGATAAACACCCGGTGACACAAAGTGCCACCATGCAGATGAGGATCACCTGTGGAGAGGTCCTAGAAACCTCTTTTAGCCGTTAGGCCATATCTATGGCTAGGCCATATCTATGCCCCGGCTATATTCAGGGCCCCCGGCAGAAGCCAGGGTGGGGCTTCAAACAAAAAATTGTATCACACAAGGGGATGACTATTACTATTATAATATCTGCTGAGGAAGACAAAACCCTTATGAACACGTCCTTAGTGCTGTGTCGGCATCTGTGGTGCAGGGGTTGCGGAACAAATTTGTAATTCTAAAATAACCTGTTCGATTCAGATGCAAGGGATTTGCCAGCAGAGCACTTTCCGTTGATTTTGGCAATGACATGAAGTGCTCAGCATGGAGAAAGCAGTGGCAAAACGCCGAACTTCAAATTTTTTTCAATACAATCCCAAACAACCAACAAAAGCTGGGGTTGGTTCACAATGTCTCCTAAAGGATAAGCAACTTAACTAAATGCTATGACACTGCTTCTGCATCTTTCGTTACCGGAAGGTTTCACAGTAAATTCCAAAATTATCAAATAACCCTGATGAAAAATCGTAGACGCATTACTTTTAAAGTGGCAATATACACAGAGGTGTTGGCCATTTGGGAAAGCCACATTTAGTTAGTGTGGTCTGGCCAAAAATATAGTAAAAATCGAGAGATCATATTATGCTGTGGAGGGGTATTGAGGGGTAAATTCATTAACACATCAGGTGGTTCTTGAGACTGAAAGAGTTAACCAATAACCTACTGACACTTACTGTGGTAATATTGTGTACCTTCTAAAAGCATTCATTGATGTTGTTGTTTTTTTGCAGGTGTGTTTGTCTGTCTAGGCCTCAGTGGGGTGATTCCTGCCATGCACTATGTGATCACAGATGGCTTCTGGCATGCTTTCAACTTTGCTGCCATGGGATGGCTAGTCCTCATGGCCTTGTTGTACATTGTTGGAGCTGTTATTTATGCAGCTCGCATTCCAGAAAGAATTTTCCCAGGAAAATGTGATATTGTGGTAGGTTACCTGTTTGACATTTGCTCATCCTTGGCTTCTTTTGTTACCACTTCATAATTTGTTGGTAATTTAATTAATGACAGTTAATGTTTCACATCTGGAAAACTAAACTATTTTGGCCACATTAACTGTCTCACCCCAGGAAGATGAAACCTAGTTACTTCCAGCTGTGACAGTCTTATAAATGCTGATATGTTTGAATGTATGCAGCGATCTGTTCTCGACAAGTATGTTTAAATTCTGTTGGCTCTTTGTGTGCCTGTGTGATGTTTAATAGGCTCCTATTACCTTAAAAAATATTTAGGGGGTTTCTTTTTGATCCTATTAGCCTCTTAAAGCCAAGTTGACATCAGATTTTCCTGTAAGCCTCAGTGATGAAAGTCACAGCCTGAGTCACCCAATATATATTTGTTTTAGACCCCAGGGGAAATATTCCATTTAAGGTTTCACTCTGTTTATTGATTATCCCTTTATATGTCTTGTTATAATTTGAGAGAAAATATTTTAAAAGGTAGAAAAGTATTTTTTGTGTGTGTTTTTTTATTTTTTTTAATATTTTTTAGTCACCTGTTTAACCCACACTAGAAACCCTGTCTGATGTAACTTGTTTTCTCTGTTTCAGTTTCAGAGTCATCAGATTTTCCATGTGTTTGTCCTGGCAGCTGCATTTGTCCACTACCATGGGATATCTGAGATAGCCAACTACAGGCTTACACTGGGAGAGTGTGTGGCCAGAGACATTGAGCAGTAG